TTCAGAAGTAGGATCAAGCAAATTCTAGTCCTTAAGGCCTGCTTGACTGTGCATGTTTGGGTGCATTTTCACATCAACAACTAATTTTTCAATTATATATGCACATATGGATTTATGGAGTGGTCCTGATAAGAACCATTCTTAAGAATAACGATCAATCACAACCATCCATTGAGCTAGATCCAATAAATTTAATTAGTTATAAAAATGAATATATTTTCATCATTCTAAGTATGCTTCTTTAGTATTTAACTATGCATCGATTATGCATCTTTTCTATTTGATTATGCAACCATTAACTTCTAAATGAAAGGTAATACAAAATCAAAATTTAAATGTTTCTTTTTCTTTTTCTCCATCCTCTATTCAATTTCCAATCTTATTAAAATGAATATATTTGTCACAATACGCAAATATTTAGAACAAATTGCGCCATATTATTCCTTGCAGCCTAAGGAATGTTTTACAAAGTGAAATTTATATTTAACAGTTCAGGTTAAAATTAATTTGAAAAACTATGTCACAAATCGAAAAACATTGCATATTTAGATATCAGTTGATGCATATTTGGAAGTATATCAATGCACACTTAGAATGACAATAGTGTGACATTTAAGTTTCATTTTTCTATTTGATTTTTTTTATTGGTCAACTAATCACCAACAATTATAATGCACATTTAGAAACGAATGAATGCACAATTATAGATCTTTGTAATCTATATAGAAGGATATGTATAATTCTACATTTTGTATATTAATTAATTAATCAATTAGTTTTAAATAGAAGGATATGTATAGATCTCAATTATATATATGCATATATATATATATATATATATATATTAATTATCAATTAGATCTAAATAGAAGGATATATGTATTAGTGTACTTTTTTGCATTAGTTAGCTAATTAATTAGATCTAAATTTATTTGAACGGCTGGGATTCGATCTCATGTTCATATTTAAGGTAGTTCTTATTTCAACCAAATCCTGCAAATATATATTGTAATGCAAATATATTTGGTTTTGTGTTGTTAGTGCATGTGCATTTGCTTTTGATGTTATCATGACTTTATATTTGTAGGATGACTATCAGTGACCAGCATTTGTTTTCCTTAAGTATTTAAAGAATTTCACATAGTGAATGTTGCTTCTGTTAATGTTTAATTATCATACATTTAATCATGTTGTCAAATTTAGTTTACGAAATAGTATAACTGTCATTGATCTTGGTGGTTGATTTTCTTAGGGATGCTTCCCGTGCATTTGTCTCCGGAAATTTCACAGGTATACATGCCTTAATTCCGTGCATCTGTATCTTGTATAGTTCTGCCATGTATTTAGATGTAATAACGACAACAGTACAACTTACATCATGTTCCTATTCCTAGTCAACCTTGACTTGCACAGGAATGTATAATTTCCGTATTAGAGAAGTTTAACTTAGTAATGTAAAAATTATTTTCCTACAAGCCATCATGCATCTTAAAGGGTTGGCTTCAAGAAAAATGGACCTCCAGATTTGAAAAAAAGTTAAGGAATTAAGGAATAATCAATTAAGCAATCTTATGAAAAGTAACTTATTGATCAAAATATAAAGTACATTTGAATTAAAATTTGTCGTTTCAGTAACACGGATTACAAAACAATGTATTTCAGAAATATCTTCACTATTTATGCCTTCTCATGTCCAAATGAATGTTCCCGGGTTCATGAGAATAGGAGGAAAAGAGTATAATGGAACACACACAGTTTGTTTTCCATTATGAGTTCTATTTTAGATGAAAGAAAACGAAATCCCACAGAACCAAAAAACTTTAATATAGTTCACAGTATCCGCTAAAATAGACTAGCTTGACTAGGACAGTTCATAAAAGTAAAAGAATGTCTTTGCCTAGGCGATCTTGAGTTGCGAACTGCCAAAATTCATAGAAAGCTAAGAGCAATGAGTCATAATTACCCCTTTCCTTTTTCTTTTCACCCCCTCCCTAGTGAAATTTCTTAACCCTTTGTTTACCTATATGGTACGACATGCAAGCATTATTAAGTCAAATTTGTTAATTATGACTCATTGCAACACCCCGTTGATTTTAAAGAATTTCTGGACTTTTTCAAAAATCAAGGTTAAATTTTTGAAAATCATTTTTCGACTTAACACATTTAACGGTGTTACTCATTCATTTCACATTCACATCATCATATACAACTTAAGTCATTTTAGAGCATACGAGAATTTATTACCGAATTTAGCACGTAAGATCTCATTATCCAAATCATCATAACATAATCAAAACATAATCATCATGTTCAATATTTCATCATTAAGTTCAAAAACCAATTCATAACAGGTTTAACATGTCATGGGAGTGAGCACACCACTTGCTCTCGACAAAATCGAGGATTTGGCTAGCAATAGTATTGATCTTTCAGTCATGCCATCATCATGAAATGATCAGGCCCACTCGTCTTCTATCGCCATGCTTGCCACCTGCTTAACCTGAAACTGGGGGGACATGGGAGTGAGCACACTACTTGCTCACTACTATGCACATAAATAAAGTATAATGACAGATAATATGGTTGCAACATGAACTTGAATCAATAAAATTATCACATTGCCAATCAATCATATAATACTCATGTGCACATTTATATAAGCCACTGAAGGTCGATACCGCACACAACAATGGGAGTACATGTCGAAGGTCGATACCGCATTCTATGATAAGGCCTATCATTAGGCAATTAAGGGAGACTGCCTCTCACTAGGCACCGTCGACGGTCGATACCGCATCCGACGACGGGTCGATACCGCATCCGACGGCTGACACCATATCGAAGGTCGATACTGCATCCAACGATAGGTCACATGTTCACACGCATATATAAATCATACTACCCAACAATTATAAACAATCTAAGGCATAGATATTTAATAAACCCACCTGGAAAACGAGGTAGAATATCGCACGAGGTAGAATATCACACACAATAGCAGGTACGTAGGTCGAGGCTCGACTCCTCAAACAACTACATTTAAGCGAGATAATAATTAATAATTTATCTCACTACTCGGACATAATATAAAAATCACACTTAATAAAAAACCGACGATTAAGGGATTTTAACGGATTTTTCGTGGACTTGGAACTCTCAAAATTTTAAAAGAATAAGACTCGAAGAACGAAAATGGAGTCTCGAAACTTAATAAAGATTTCCCTTTTCCCTCATTTGAAAATAATTTTTAAAATTGGGTTTGACACGAAAAATAAGCTCCTGGCACTGGCACATAAAGAAGACTGAAAAATCGAACTGGGTTGCGTTGCACAAAATCTGTCGCGAAATTGGGCTTTTCCCACGTGATTTGGGTTGAGGCATCGCACAAAATGGACCGCGCATAAGCTGGACTTGCGGGCTGGGAATCGGCCTCCGGGCCAGAGCTGAGAGGGGAAAGGCCGCGCGGGCCACATGGTGGCAGTTGTAACTGTTCTTCTGTGCAGCACAACACTCCCCGACATGGTTCCTGCTAGAGCTGCGGGGCACTTATCACGTCTACCCAAACCTCCACACTTCCCCTTCCCATGATCTGGGTGGGGTCAATCTTCCTCTTGTCCGAATGAGAACCGGGCTGGACATCAATAGCAGGTGGAACCATCTGAGCATGATAGCCTTGGAGGTTCTGGTAGACATGATAACCGCCCCTGAGTAGGTGAATTCGAAAATAATTTCACCCCAAACTAAATAAGTTTTGTTTGTACTGCCCAAAAATATATTTTCGTCCAGGAAATTCCGGAACATACTGGAAGAACTGAAGCTAATGTGACTGCATTGGAAATTACATTCTCCTAGGCCATCTGCTGAAGTTAGTCAAGGATTTTTCGACGAGCCCATTTTGCATAAACCCGAAAATCATGGCATTCCACACATAAAGATCATTGTTACTTTTTTAAGTTCCTGTTGAATGTTGAATATTGTCTACTGGCCTTCCAAACACTCACAACAATGTGAAGGTTGTCACTGGCCCCTGCCCTTGTGAGTGAAGGTTGGCCTGTCGTGTCCACTCCAACGGTAACCTCCATGAGAATTGTTTGGTCGTGCTCAATATCCGGGCGTAAAGAATACAACTTCATGTTCTTCAGATAAGAGGGACCGATGACCCTATTGTCCCTCTTGCGTACAATTGTGTTGCCGATAATGTCCGAATGAACTGACTTATAATCCGAACACGCCAAGGTGATCCCACCAGGAATGACTAGATCTACATATTACATTAGAATAAAGAAAATATCATAAAAATCAGCAAAAGATAACAAAAATGTGGTAATAAAAAGTGAAGTACTCTTGAGATATATGTATTACCTGAAGTATCAATTTGGTGATGAATTTGGATGGCTCAGTTCAAAAATTGGGTTATCGACATGATCTTAGTCGGGTCAATGTGTTTTCCAAACTCATAGATCCTTTCAAGTTTGGCCAAATCCGGTCCAGCTCATCCATATCAACCGCATTGAACCACAACTCCCAAAATAAATATTATGAGGTAGCTGCATGTAGTCCTTTAATCAAAGCTTTTAATTGTTTTTTCGTTAGGGGGGAAGGGTCGGATCCCATCCTTCCCCCGCTAACGAAAAAACAATTAAAGGCTTTTATCAAAAGACTAACTGCTGCTACCTCAGATTTATTTTGGGAGTTGTGGTTCAATGCGGTTGATATGGATGAGTTGGACTGGATTTGGCCCAACTTGAAAGCGTTGGGCGACCCGCTTCCCAGACAACGAATTGGCTGAGAAAATGTTAGATTTTGGGCCTATGAGTTTGGAAAACACATCGACCCGACTAAGATCATGTCGATAACCCAATTCTTCAACCGAGCCAGCCAAATTTATCACCAAATTGATACTCCAGGTAATACATATATCTCAAGAGTACTTCACTTTTTATTACCATATTTTTTGTGGTGTTCGGATTACGAGCCTGCTCATTCGGACATTATCGGCAACACAGTTGTATGCAAGAGGCACATTATCGGTCCCTCTTATCTGAAGAACACGGAGTTGTATTCTTTGCGCCCGAATATCGAGCACGGCCAAACAATTCTCATGTAGGTTACCGTTCGAGTGGACTCGATCGGAGATAATCAGGGGTTGCAGGCCAACCTTCACTCACAAGGGCAGGGAGGGGGGCCAGTGACAACCTTCACATTGTTGTGAGTGTTTGGAAGGGCCAGTAGATAATATTCAACAGAGAACTTGAAAAAAGTAACAGTGATCTTGATGTGTGAAATTCCATGATTTCCTGGTTTACGCAAAATGGGCTCGTCGAAAAATCCTTGACTATCTTCCAGCAGATAGTCGAGGAGAATGTAATTCCTAATGCACTCAAATTAGCTTCAGTTCTTCCAGTATGTTCCGGAATTTCCTAGACGAAAATGTATTTTTGGGCGGTACAAACAAAACTTATTTAGAGTTTGGGGTGAAATTATTTTCGAATTCACCCACTCAGTTTCCTTTCCCCTGTCGGCCCGCATCTAGGCCCGATTCCCAACCCGCGAGTCCAGCCTAGTAGCAGGTCTTATGCGAGGCTCATTTTGCACGATGCCTCATCCCAAATTGCGTGGGAGAAGCCCAGTTTCGCAGTAGATTTTGTGCAGCGCGGCCCAATTCGATTTATCAGCTTTTCTTATGTGCCAGAAGCTTATTTTTCGTGCCAAACTCAATTTTAAAAATTATTTTCCAATGAGAGAATACGGGAAAAATTTTATTAAGTTTCGAGACTCCATTTTTGTTTTATTCTTTTAAAATTTTGAGAGTTCCAAGTCCACGAAAAATCTGTTAAAATTCCTTAATCGTTGATTTTCGATTAAGTGTGATTTTTATATTATTTCTGTGTAGTGAGATAAATTATTGATTATTATCTCGCTTAAATATAGGTGTTTGAGGAGTCGAGCCTCGACCTATGCTATTGTGTACGATATTCTATCTCGTTTTTCAGGTGGGTTTATTAAATATCTATGATTTAAATTGTTTATAATTGCTGGGTAGTATGATTTATGTATGCGTGTCAACATGTGACCTATCATTGGATGCGGTATCGACCTTTTCGATATGGTGTCAGCCGGCGTCGGATGCGGTGTCGACCGTCGACAGTGCCTAATGAGAGACAGTCTCCCTTAATTGCCTCGCAGGATGCGTTATCGACCTTCGGCATGTACTCCCATTGTTGTGTGCGGTATCGACCTTCAGTGGCTTATATAGATGTGCACATGACTATTATATGATTGATTGGAGATGTGATAATTTTATTGATTCATGACCATACTATCTGCCATTATTCTTGATTTATGCGTATAGTAGTGAGCAAGTGGTGTACTCACTCCCATGTCCACCCCCTTTTCAGGTTAAGCTGGTGGCATGGCGATAGCAGACGAGTGGCATGACTTATTTATGCTTCCGCATTATTGATGAACTTGTTTTGGAATTATTCAAACATGATGTTGTTTTGAAACTTATGATGACATGTTAAACCTGATGAATTGGTTTTTGAACTTAATGATGAAATATTGAACATGGTGATTATGTTTTGATTATGTTATGATGATTTGGATAATGAGATCCTACGTGCTAAATTTGGTAATGAATTCCCGTATGCTCTAATATGACTTAATATGACTTGGGCTGATGATGTGTATGTGAAATGAATGAGTAACGCCGTTAAATGTTTTAAGTCGTAAAATGATTTTAAAAAATTTAACCTTGATTTTAGAAAAAGTCCGGAATTTTCTTTAAAAATCAACGGGGCGTTACACGTGCGGTAATCATTTTTGGATCAACTTCTTACTCAAAAGGCTTCAATTTACGTGTAAGTTCTCTTATTAACCGGTAGGAAATTCTTGGGTCATGATTGTGTTGATGTTATATATGTTGTATTGGCTTTTTACAATTTGGACCCTTAGTTTTTGACTCTTGTTTGATCACTGCACTTTAAATGAATAGTCCAAATTTTGATGCAATTTTCACTTAGTAAATATTGCATTCCTGACACAAGTCCTGTTACAAAGCAATCTTGCAATCATCAGGGTTGCAACTAGTTATTATAAAATAAGTAATACGACAACCATTGTACTAATTACAGCAGTAATGATGACAACAATGTAAACGTGAATAAAATGAACAATATGCACACCGAAGTTATGATTGAAGCCTGGTAAACTCATATAGTTTTAGCTGTGCTGATGGAAATGCATATTAATGTCGCTGATGGAATGCCTATAGAGATTTTGGATTGCTTTAATTGAGCTTATGAGGCTATTGCGTCTAGTAATGTAGCTGATGGAATGCCTATAGAGATATAAGGGGATTACATATACAAGTTTTTGTTGAAGGTTTTGGACATTTCAGATCTTGAGGATACCTTAAACAAATTTTATAGGACATGTGGGGAATTTTTTACTCGTACTAATTTTCAGTTTTGATTTCTGTGCAGGAGAGGGACTTACAGATAACCTACATGGCCTGTCGAAATCTGAGGTTATTATCTTCATCCTCTTGTCATTAATTTATAGAGAAGGGAGTTGCACTATGTTTATGTTATGTGCATGCTAAATGTTGTAATCGTGGTTGAAAAGCAAGTTCACAACAAAGATGCTTAATAATTAATAGTTTAATACATCCGAAAATGTTAGTTATAGGCTCAAGGTACATTCTCAAGTGACATGAACGTTAGAAACTGAGATACAAGCTATAATTAATCAAACATACACATAATGTCATGGAAACTACCGAAAATTACCAGATTTTACAATTTTGATTGGAAAGACCATTAAAATCCCATAATTTGGTAATTTTCCATCTTAAACAAATCTTTGATACATTAAACTATCACATATTCTCGTAATATTTGATGTTCAATCTGGTGCTTTTGAAAAAGATTGCTATGCTTTGATCAACATTTTTTTTTAAACACTATGTTCATAGGAAGTGCATATTTATTTCATAAACAATGCATAATTAGTTATATTATTGTTTCACATTTCGTTCATAAAAAATGCATATTTAGTTCATATGATTGCATATTTTGAGTGCAATTTTAAACTGCATATTAAATGCATATTTATATTAAATACATATTTAGTTCATATCAACTGCATTTTTTGTAAACAATATGTTCATAGGAAGATTGCTACACTAAAAATATGCAATTTACAAAAGAAAAAAAAAAGACAATCTTTATAATTTTTCCGTGAGAGAAATATGCATATAAATTCACTAAAATAGAGAATATTTGTTCATAAATTAAATATGCACTATGTATGAACTAAATATGCAGTCAAACCTGGAGCCTTACTCATTACAACTATTGCGCTATTGTCTGTATGTTCTCAACTAAGTATGCATTTGTATGAACTACTATGTATTACGAAAACATGCACCACAGAACTAAATATGCATTGTGTTTCATTAATTATATAGTAAAAACTAAAAATTATTATGTTAATTAATAATAATAAAAAAAATATGTTAGACCGGATTGGCAGCCGCGGCCGGCCGGTTAACGGCCGCTCAACTCAGTCAATCAATTTATTTATTATAAAATAATAATAATTATTTTTATTATATATTAATGTTAATTTCAGTTGATTAATATGAGCCATTGTCTACACAAATTAATGGCTAGAATTGAATCTCATATCCCCATTATAAAAAAAGGGTTCTATTAATTGAGCCTCATATCCTCGTGTGTGTATGTGTGTATATATATATATATAAACTAGTATTGTTACCCATGCAAATGCATGAGGAATAAATAAATGAATATCAAAGAAAAATAAATTGTAAGTCATAGAAATTGGTATTCATACGTTATTAGAATTATACCCTATANATTCTAGTTTTAATTGAAATAAAAATCATATTCCTAATTAATAAAAAAACAACAGGTAGTACTTACTAACACTTGATTTTTTTTTTTTTTTATGACTTTAAAATAAACGAACATACAAACCAATCAACACACTAATTTGGAAAATTTGTTGTGGTGGTCTATCGAAAATGTGTCCTACCTTCAATGTTAATTTTGTTTACGCAAACATGTGTCTTACCTTTAAATTTGAATGTTTTTTTTATAGACATTGTTTATAAAGGGCTTTTTAATTGTTATGTATGATTTCTTCTTTTAATAAATGACATTGCATTTGTTTTATTCAGGATAGTCAATCATGGAATCTGTTTTGGTTGGATTAGAAATCATGAATTTGAACGTTTGTCAAGTAACTAAAAATAGGAATTACTTAACACACTTTTCACTCATAAAGAATCTCTACATCATCTTAATATTTTCAAATATATATTGTTTACTTATTCTTTGTAGTTTTGTTTACATGTTTTTTAAATTAATTAATATTTTTGATATTAGAAATATTAAAGCACGCCTACGTGTCATGTGCAAAACCAATTTTCCATAATAGAAGTAGATTGTAGGACTCATTACTAAAAACTTACTATTTTTTGTACGAGTTATCGCTTTATATATTTGATAGATGTGTAAATGATACCACTATATAATATTAAAAATAACTTCTTACACAATCAGAAATAGTATCATATATAGTTTCGCGTCCCTCACACCATGACTTGTTTTTATTAGAACCTTGCCATATATATATATATAAAATGTTGAGCATTATTTTACATCATTTTTCCTGACTTATCTTCTGTTTGTAGTTTGTTTTTCACTTCTTGTAGTTAGTAATTTTCATCAATGTATTTGTCCACAGGTGAAAAGCATCGTGGACTGGCGAGAATTTTACTTCAAGACATATACGTATGCAATGCCTTGTTTTCCTCCCTCCCTAAATTTGTTCATGACCTCATGCAGATCAGTAATTGACAAATGAAATAATCTAGGCAAAAGTCTCACTATTCTCTTTTGTTACAAACTTACAATCATTTAGTTATTGTGGTTTTCATTAAGATTGACAAATGAAATATTCTAGGCAAAAAAACTCGCTATTCTCTTGATTTACAATCATTTGGTCACTGTGTTTTTTCTTCTCTGTGCATGTTAGTGTACCATTTTTTGTGCTTTGCAATTTCTCAGTCTTGTAGATAAAACTTCCTTTGTTATGATCAGTTCCTTAGATAACCCTTGTTCTTTTCGCATTTACACTGAAGATTCCTTTATTCATTACCCTTTTTAAGTTTTAGAATTTACCCTATTCCCTCAAGCATATCCAGTCACACCATAAAAGCTCAGATTNNAATAGATATTGCTTTTGATTGCGTTCTTTTAGTGATTCATTGAATGACAAAACATGAATCCTCAACCTTTTCCACAGATTTGTGGGTAAGTTGGTTGGCCGTTATTATGACAAAGAAGGAAAGCCCACGAAATACTTGAAGGGCATAGAAGCAAAGGCGGCTAGGGGTTCTCAGCTTCTCGAGAAACAAAAGAAAAAAGAGGCGGAAGTCGCCAGCTGTAACTCAAAATGGAGCCAGGAAGAAGGTTCGGAGGTATGAAAATGTGGCGTATGTTTAGTTAAAGTGTAGTTGCATGTGATGGGTAGTCTCAAAATGTTTTCTTTGGTCTAAACTCTAAAACTGTGTCAGGTGTGGTGTGATGAAGGCTACCCGAGGCTAGTTCAGAGACCTACCGAAATAGCATTGACCGGGAAAATGAGCCGGCGTTGTGCTTGCTTCAAAGAATCAGAACTGGGCCAGACGGGTTTGGAGGTCTATGAAAGATGTGATTACTTTTCAAAGAAATGCAAACTGTAGTTGTGGCTGCCAAATGAAAACTTGCAGTATTTAAGTGGTTAATGATAAAAAAATACTAATGTATAATACAAGTTAAATTGAAAGTTGTGTACTACAAGCCGCTCACAATTGTTTTGCCATTGTCTTTTTGGAAATATGAAAGATCCACTTGTACTTGTGACTTAGTTATAGTGAGGTGACCTGTTCAGGGTCACAGTCGAAATCGAACCAGTTGGTCCGGACTGTTTGTTAGAACAGTGGTTTTTTTTTTTTTGTTTTCATTTGAAGAGGTGAATTATTATTATATTGGACCTCAACTTTCTAACTTTAAGTGTTTAGCAAGTACACTAGAAATATATCATAAGCTTGCAAAATAGCATGGCTTTGGAATCAAAATATAAGCAGCAAAATATAGTTTCATTCTTGAGAAGTTGGGTAGCAGTTAGTAACAGCAAAAGTAGTTGGTGGCATGGAGGGTGGAGGCAGCTGGTGGTAATAATTTTGTATTCTAGTTAAAAAATACTGAAATTGGGGGATAGTTGTCTTACCATGTTATGCACGGTAGACAATACCTGTTTTTGAAAGGATTATCTATTGGGAGATTTTCTTGGTCATGTGCAACATAGATTCCATAAGAAACATAATAAGAGTTGTCTGACATTTTTCAAAAGTTTAAATTTAGAATTAACTAGCTCATTCTATTCCCTTTTCACAGTTCAAGAGTGTATTTCTTAAGTGTCTTATGTTAGCTTATAGTTTATTTAGTTATGAAAGCTTTACATAATTAAATGTCTTGTTTGATTGGATGATTAAAAAAAAAAAAACTCAAATTTATCTCATATGTTTATTATAGTAGAATTTTAAAAAATGTACACCATTTCATTTAACATAAAATTTCATAGGATTTTTATTATATCAGTTAGCTATCTATTAAGTCATTAGTAGGAAACTATCACCTACTTATAGAGAGTCCATTAATTTGATCTACTTACATAAAGGGAAATTTTTATGTATACTTACCGTTTTTTAAGTAATTGCAACATTACCATTCAAACCAATAAAATTGTGTATATACTTAAGAGATAAAAAGTAATTATATTCATGCCTAAAACAGTTACAAGTAAGGTGAACAACCATTCCATATTTGTAGCGCACAATTTAAGGATTCAAGATGTAAAGATATTATATTTGAATTTAAATTCATAATCATCGTTGAAACAGACGGAAAAGAAAAAGGAAACAAGCCGAACATATACTGGACATGCGTCAGCACGACCCCGACGAGCAGCGTCCTCAGGATGTGAGATTGCATCCTAACTTTAAATCTTGAACGGAAGAATATACCGAAAATATACTAATAATATACTGTCGAACATCTTCCTGTTAATGTCATGAAAAAATATACTGATAATATACCGAAAATTTTTAATCAACAGGTGTATGGAATGATTATATTTGTACATATACTTTACATCCTAACATATACTGTTCATATACCACAATACAGAAAAAGTCTGGTTCATATATGGAATGATTATATCTCCAAAATAATCTGAACAACTTTGATCGACAGGTGCATCCCATAATTGTGTTTGGAGTGGGAAATCATGTTTTCATGTAATAGAAGAACAAAAAAGAAAAAATATAATAGATAGAGAGGTATATTTCTTGATCGGAATCATGTTTTTATGTAATATGTTTGGAGTGGGAAATCATGTTTTCATATATACTGTACATATACTGCACTCGTCGGGAGGAAGCAAAGTCATATATACTGTACATATACTTACATATACTGTACATATACTCCGATCCAATGTCTACAAATTTCAACGTAATGACTAATCTACACACAGTCCAAAACCCTAAAAAATCGAAGCAAAATTCAAATTTTCTGCAACCAACCATTCATCTCCCCCGATTGTGGAGACGCCGAAACCCTCTTTAGAGGACGCCGTTGCCGGCGATAATTGAGGAAATCATGCTCCGGAATATATTCATCTTCTCTCTCGTCGACTCCATAGAAAAAGATTCTCGCATCGCCTACATGTAGATGACGACCGCGGGGATGGCTTGGTAGACGATCTCGTCGAGGGACTAGGACTCGGTGGAGGACGGCGTTGAAGGGGACTCGGTGTAGATGTCCTCTTGATTTTTTGCACTGAATCGGTAGCGACCTGCATAAATTGTCGTTGTCCTAAATCGCACTTGCCACGATTTTCGAGAATTCCGGTGGGATAGGCTTCAGAGGGAGCCTGGGAGAAATATACTCGCCATCTCTGAATCAAAAGTTACACCATCTCTCCCAAGTCCCACCTGCACATCTTCTCGTTTTTCTTTTTTTTTTTTTAATGACAAGGAACAAGCGCCATCATATATGCGACCTCCGACCTCCAAATCAGCGGTGGCTCTCTTATTTTTCCGCACCGAATCAGCGTCCCTCTTGATTTTCCGCACTGAATTAGTGGTGGCCCCCGGCCCGTATAGAGGTTTTTCTTGGCCATTGAACTAGGTTGGGACTTTTGTCTTGATTTTTCGAGTAGAAATTGGGACTTTTATCCCCGCACCGGATTAGCGGTTTGTCTTGATTTTCCGAGTAGAAATTGGCACTTTTGTCCTGGACATTGAACTAGGTTGGGGGAATCGAATAAAGGTTTTTTCTGATGAAGATGGTGAACGTGGGGGCCGTGGTTTTTTTTTTTCTGCAGAATGATAAGATCATAAGAGTATCTTTTTTCTGGAGTTGTAGTAGCATTTAATTTGGGATAAAAATCCTTAATTGTGAGTTAATTATATCAAATTAAATTTGCCCAGAATTTGCCATGTAACAGTTGTTATTACCTCTTAGGTATAATTGCAAATTCATTTGGCTGATTTGGTATTATTATAAATAAGAATATACTAGGTGTATTAATGTAATATAGTTAATGTGCTAAAGTAAGAGGTGCAAATTCCTCTTACATAAATGGTGCACTATATTGGTCCATCATTAGATTTAGTCCATTAGATTTTGTTGGTATTATACAAGCTTTGCTTTATTTTAGATCAATTTCCTATTTTGAATAAAAATCAATATTAGTCAAAACTGTATGGATTTATATTTTCGAATATGGCAATGCAAACTTGCCGTGTTATCGACACTGATGACAATTGATATAGCAATATTAGGATATACCGGTTCTAATACTCATTACTCAACCGAGAGGGCGAGTCGAACCGTCCGCATGTCGACATCCCTAAGTCGACACACTTAAGTTGACTTGACCACCAAAGGAAGATGCCTGCCGATCTCTCTAAAATCGGCGTCCTCAAAGTCGATTTCCTATAGTCGGCTCCCAAAGTCGACCTCCACCAAGAAGACGAGCAAGTGTAGCCTCCGAACATATTCATGAGATCCCTAAGTCGACCTCCCGGTGCTCAAGGTCGACTTTTCGTGCCTCGACGCCCAAAACGAGTTGATGACCCAGGACACTTGTAGCATCTCCTCACCAGTCCCCTAGCTAAGGGTGAATCTTTATTGGATAAGGAGAAATCTTGAGATGACTAAGCAGCGAAGGAAGACGAACCGACCAGGGTATTCTGGACACTTCAGGTAAATCGACTGGGGCAGTTTGGGGACTTCAAGGGAGTATTTCCTTCTATATATATAAAAGGGCTGACGTAACCTTAAACCTTAACCTCTATTCATTCTATACACTTCTCCTTCTTCTTGCTGCTGCTGCTCATCTCAGAGCAGATCTTTCATCTCTTTCACATACTAACTTGAGCGTCGGAGGCTCTACGTCGGAAACACTTCCGGCGTTGAGTTCTTGCAGGTGTTGTCGCAGTCTAGCAACGATTTGGAGGCGGTTCGAACATATTAGAGCTCATAACCACCGTTTCATTTGAAATTTGGAAGTAGACCCATCAACAATATATTGTGACATAGTCACACAAAATATTATATTATCGATTTCTTGTCAGTATAATAATATTCGTAATCGAGATAGAAATGCACAAACTTACCGGTATGATTATAATATAATTTGACTTAGTTTATCTTCACTAATAAATCATACTAGTACAATTTGTGTGTATTGAAGTGGACAAGAAGAAGAATTTTATTTTATACTGACCCAGTAAATAAAATGGACCTCATAATATCACTCATACTATAAATTCGAATAATAATTATGAGTACATGTACTCGGTATTTATTCTTTTAAGTAATCAAAGTGTAATACTTATTCGTTAAGTCAATAGGCTTGGTGAATTGAGGAGTTGTATTGGTTACATGAGGTGCTGTCTTTATATTCGACTACTATGTCCTGGTGCATCAGGTGAAGACTTCCGCGAAATGAGCTCAAAAAGATTATTATTACTAAACCCTGTAGGTGGATTAAGTTTCTACATAATAATAACGTTGACTTTACTAGTTTCAAAACCAATTAATTAAATTATCAATAATTAAATAAATTAACTGATTTATAATATCTTAGACATGGAGAGATAAATCGAGTATAGTGGAGCCCAAGTAGTTTGGGTTTGGAAAAAGTAGTGCAATAATAACTCTTTAACAGGATGAATTATTTTTTATGGGCTAAGAAGTAGGGTGGACCATAACACAAGTATTATTTTCTTATGTGTAACCCTAACATTCTTAAGGTCCCTATTGTAGCATATAAATAGACCGTGTTGGGAATCGTAATTCGCATTCACTTGAAAGCCATGCCACCGTTGCCCAAGAGAGAGAACAGGCTTAAGATAGTGTGTGAGAAGGAGTCGACCACGGAGTTCGGAAGGACCTCCCACACGACTTCAGGAATACAACCGAAGACTTTGAGGTCATGAGGCTAAATGTTCATTTGATCCTGTAGATTGTGTAATCGTCTCAAAGTCGGCACTAATTAACAGTATGATTAATCCTACTTGTAGATCCGCTGCTCATAGGAATTAATTATGTTAATTCGAACATATATAGATCTGACGATGTTCATAGAACCCAACAATTGATATTAGAGCCAAGGTTTAATTTGTATCTATGATTTTGTTCGAATTATTTTATGATCATGATTGTTTCATGCATATTTATTCAGGCGTGGATTAGTAGGTAGAACCGCACTAACTCGGTTTAGCATGAATCTTAATCCAACTATTACGGTCCTCGTTCATGAATTTATTTATGCACGTTTATAAAAATTCAGACATGTCGAGAATTTTTTGATTGGTGTATGATTGTAATAGTTTTAAAATATGGCGAGACGTCGTATTAGAAAAACATATTATTCTTTTTAACTAGATTAGATGTGAGCCCTTTAGGGTGTGATTTGGTATAAATCACTAA